ACCTAATCATAAGGCACCGCACACGTTAGAAGACAAATGATTGCACGACGATGGAACAACAACCCTTCCGGAGTGGGATTCACCGGCTGTTTTGGCATAATCGAAGGCATTCCATGCCGTTTTGCTCGTGTTTAGGTATCCTAATTTTGGTGCATTTTGGTTTCGGTACTTAGCTAGGTACATGCCTGTAGTGCTAGCTGGAAAGGAATAAAACAACAGAAAGCTGCTCTCAATTTGGTGAGAAAAAAATCCAGACGAACTTCCATTTTTTCAAACCTTTATCTAACTGGGGGTGGAGGCTGGGACGCTGCCTTCTACCCTACCGATGCAAAACTATTTTGCTTTGCTTAATCGTTACTTTAACGTAACAGAGGTGATTAAGACATCAATATGGTTGCTAATTGTGCTGCATGTCCAACGCATTAGATTTCGAAAAACAGCATGTGTGTAGTCGGTGGTATGCGTGTATATACGCAAGTTTTGGTGAAAAAATAACTGATGTCACACCGAATAAAAAAATGATGTCAGTTGGCTGATGACACAGTGAGCCATGTGCTTCCAATCAACCAAAGTGACGATGCCCTGCGATGTGTGAAAACAGTTGATATAAGTGTACTTATTGTCTGCCCCCGCCGCGGCTTTATTATATTTAAGCGTGATATAGTGGTAATACAATACGGAGTTGCATGATGTTGTCAAAACGTCAATTTTGGCGACCAGGTAACATTGCTGCTCGTTTGAAGCTAACTCGACGTTTGTTTTTATATCTCTGTGACATTGCCAGCGGTTGTCCTTCTTTTCTGTCACTCTGGTTTGTTTGCATGCCCTTATTTGGTTTGAATTATACTCTAACCACGTCAGTTCTTACACTCCATGGGCGTAATATTATTACACTCCTTGGGTGTTTCTTACGAGGGAAAGGGGACAAGCACCCGGCGAACCGCACCGCCATGTACTCAAGTCTCACCTGTCGTAGCACTTGCTGACCCCTGAATACCCACCTGTCACAGTGCTGATCTTTAAATACCCACATGCCACAGTTCTGATCCCTGCATACCCATATGTCACAGTGCTAGTCCCTGACGACTCGCCCGTCACAGTTCTGACCCCTGATGACCCATCTTTCACAGTGCTGATCCCTGAAGACCCATATGTCCCATTGCTGACCCATGAAGACCCACCTGCCACAGTGTTGACCCCGAAGACCCACCTGTCACGCCACCGATTCTAAAGACCCACCTGTCACAGTGTTGACCCCTGAAGACCCACCTGTCACAGTGTTGACCCCTGAAGACCCACCTGACACGGCCTTGGCTCCGTCAGCCCAGCGCACGCCGGTCGAGGATGTCATCGGCTCTGCCCGCGACCCACTGCAGGCGGCCAAAAGGTCAGTAGGCAGCTGAGTGCAGGTCACATTCTCCCCAGCCATCGCCTTTGTGTGTTCCGTGGGTCGATCCCTCATCAAAGCTAAGCTGCACCATTGAGAATACGTGTTTGCCATCTTCCAAAAGTCAACATCGTCGCCTCGGCCCGCGCCTGTCGGGACAAACAGTGTCGGCTCGCGGAAAGAGCGAGTTATTGACCTGCGGGAGCACGCAGGTCTTCTATGTCACCTCACCAACGGGTGGCCGAAAGGCCCCATTTGCAATGTCTGTGATGGTTGGTGCCCTGTTGCAGCCGGTAGACTTTTGCCGTCAATTGTGCCGCCATGGCGTCACCATTCTCACTCCAACAACGCAAAATACGCTGGAGCAATAACAGTAACGACGATGTGACAACACGTTAGCAGTCTGAAATGATTTCGTTTTAAATAAACACACACCGAAGAGGTCTTCACGGCAGAAGTGTTTTAAATAAACACACACCGAAGAGGTCTTCACGGCAGAAGTGTTTCGCTCCTCTTCCACCTGGAGCCTCATGGCGAGCAATGGGACACTGTTCCGCTGCAGTTGTTATGCTCGGGCCGCTGTGGGCGCGGTCACCAATGCGGCTCGAGGCTTTGCTCCGTTAGTGCTGGTGATCACCGGCACCGAGCACCACTTGGACGCGCACGTTTTTCTCACCGGGAGGAACTGGATGCTCACTATCTGTGCCAGTGCGGTAGTGGCCACCGTTATCTACCATCGCTGCGTTATTTTCCGGAAAGCTCACCCAAGCCGACGCTCAGTGTTATTGATTAGAATTATCTGGATCAGAATGTTTGTGTTGTGCTTTGATGAATTGAACAGTCCAGTCGCATCACCAAGTCCTGCCATTAAATGGACCGAGTCATGTCATTGAATGAACTGAGTGAATGGAATGGGAAGCAAATGAGTGAGTAGCAAACCAGCCCATTGAATGCAACACATGAATATGGCAGCACAAACGTCGCGTACACGATAAGTCTTTCCTTTTTAATCTTAATGCATAGTTCACGTTGAGAGCATACCGATCAAGTATTGCACTATTCCCCTACAGTTTTATTTTCACCGCGGCTCCATGGGAAGTTCAGCTCATCGTTGAAATGAGTGGCAGCTCGTCCTGAAAATGGCCCACAAATGCCAAGAACATACAGGTTGCACCCCTCCGGCCAAGGAAACGTTGAATGAGATTAAGAACGATTACTGAGTAATGACAATTACTTGTTTATGACGTATATAAAGTATTGCCAATTAGGTTTTTTTGTTACCTGTTGTGTGTGCTAGCACGCAATTACATGTTTTCTACCTTTGCATCTTAATTTCCATTCTCAAATGTGCCCTGACTCCGAAAATTTTGTCGAATATCTGAATATTCGGAATGCTTTCCCGCACCTGGAATGTTTGCCCCACGAACTGACAGCGAGCACTTTACCCCTGGCTTGTGTAGGACATAGCGTTTGAGCGGGTTGCATTAGCCGCCTACAGCTTTTACTATCCGTAACGAAGCGCGATAGATGTCTCGTGTGAGTACTTGGTGAAAAATGCGCGCTATTTGGTATTAACATGGTGACATTGACTCTGTGATAAAGTACCGATTAGAGGGGTATTCTTGGCGCTGCTTTACATACGATTGCGGTCATTATATGTCACGCTGTCATGATCATACGTGATTTCAAAAGGTCATCGCATATGAGATTTACGTGCGGTGACCCCGCCAAGGTCATCAGGTGCCATATAATAAGAGTTCAAGCACGTTGCATCGAATCAGCGTTCAGGTCGCGTCGCCTTGGTTTATACATAAAATGAATGTTCGCGGCTTTTATGATATGCTTTGAGACATGTGGCCAACAATGTATTCACGCCAGATGAAAAATGCATGCATCATTTATGAGATACTAGAGATGGAGTCACGCGTGACGAGCTATACTATGCCATTCCAGCCAAGCTTCGTTGATGTTGTGCAACCAATGTGGCTTTGAATTGTAGAGCACGTTGTCTTCCATTATACTGTCTGAAAGCCGTCCTGCTTTGCAAACAGATCCAGGATCTAGGTTTTTGAATGCGGAATTACCTCAGACCTCCACCGTTAATCATGGCATGGTTATTGACTCGTATTCTGAGTTTATGGTGTCACTCTAGCCCATAGACTTGCCATCTGCCACCAGTTTCTGAACTCGCTGTTTGACCTCGTTTGACCCCAGTTTTGAGCTGACACTGGTATCGGACTTAAACTGGCATCACGGAATTACGCAAGTTGCAAGCAACGCGATAATGGAAATGCCGCTAAATTAACCAGCATCAAACTTGTGCAACAGTGCTCTTTGGTCTATTGACCTGCGTACGCTGTCACAAATGTCCACATATGTCGACACCCACTGGAGCAAGCTTGGTGCGCACCAGGTATGATTAGACACCGTCCCACGAGACCCACAGGTATGGCTGAAGAGGATGCGTTTGATCATTCAACGCGCGGCGGCATATCATAAAACGAAAGCGGCATATCGTAAAACGAAAGCGGTATATCGTAAATCGAAAGCGGCATATCGTAAATCGAAAGCGGCATAACGTTAACCGAAAGCGGCATATCGCAAAACGAAAACGGCATATCGTTAACCGAAAGCGGCATATCGTAAATCGAAAGCGCCACATCGTAAAACGAATGCGGCATATCGTTAACCAAAAACAGCATATCGTTTACCGAGAGCGGCGTATCGTAAACCGAAAGCGGCATATCGTACACCGAAAGCGGCATATCGTAAAACGGAAGTGACATATCGTTAACCAGAAGCTGCGTATCGTAAGCCGAAAGCGGCATATCGTAAATTGAAAACGGCATATCGTAAACCGAAACCGCAGCTTGTCGCCGCTTGCTCGGTCTGTTTGGCATCATGGTCTAGCCGAGTTAAAACGGCGGATGCTTCCATGACGGCGATGCTGACTTCGGACAGGTGCGCGAGTGGGCGTGTCCGCATTGTGGGTTGGTCGGGACTCAGCTGAGCAGGAGTGGGAGATGCTACGATGCACTACATGTAAAAGGAATTTTTTGCATCCATCGGACGCAGAGTCTAATCGGGCCCTACCCCGGGACCGCCTGTAGAGAAAAAAGCAATGCGCTGTGGGAGCGAAGCCCTCCTCTCCATGTCGTTCAAAGCAAGCACATGCCAGGACCGGTCTGTAATAGATCGTGCCTCGGGTCACGACCTTCAGCCACCTCGAGGCGCCCGACCCCCGCTCAGTTGACGGTCGGTCGGTCGGTCGGTCGGTCGGCAGGCCTCGCGCTGCACGCATGGATCGATGCCCAACGCGTGGTCGCGGCTGTTGTGCAACATTAAAACACCCACGTGTGCACCCCACATGTCCACCCCACGCGGATCCTGAATGCCTGGAAGGCAGTGCTTCCGCCGCTGTCTTCCAGAGACGCGTGCGCAGGACGGAAGCATTAGTGATTCGAGAATGAGCATGTATGGACCAGTATATATTGCGGGCCTGTCCGAAGTAGTAAGAACTAGTTTCTCCTCACCAGCCTTAGGCACAACACCTCCAAAATTGCTCGACTGTAGCATCGCCTCGCACTAGAGCACTACAATCTCACTTCACCGGATAGTGGATACCTGTATCTTTCTCATCGCAGCAAAGAGGAGCACTGCACTTGCGCACTACTGCACACTTGAATGCAGTTTCGCCGTTGTACAGTGCAATAACTTACACCTTCGACGTCACACAATAATAACACTTAATCCATCTCATTACCGCTCTCAATCACTACTGCGTTGCGCAATGGAGCACTGCACCTTCGTCACTGTCGCACAGTAGGAGTGCTGCCTCTCCGTCACTGTTGCACAGTGGAGTACTGTACCTCCGTCACTGTCGCACAGTGGAGCGCTGCATCTCCATCACTGTTGCACAGTGGGGTGCTGCATCTCCATCAGTATTGCACAGGGGGTGCTGCATCTCCATCACTGTCGCACAACTGAGTATTTTACCTCCGTCCCTGTTGCACAGTGGAGCACCGCACCTCCGTCACTGTCGCACAGTGGAGTATTGCACCTCGGGTACTGTCGCACAGTGGAGTACTGCACCTCCGTCACTGTCGCACAGCGCAGCACCGCATCTCCGTCACTGTCGCACAGTGGAGTACTGTACCTCGGCCGCGGGGCCGGTCGCACAGTCGCACCCTTTGGCCTCCTCCACCTTCCATCTGATCACCACCCGGTTTCTGAAGGCGTAGTGAAACTGTGAGAACTCGCTGACGCTGCTGAAGTAGCGCATCAGCACCGTGCCTGGCCCGCGGAACGCTACCTGGACGCTGCCGTCCGCATTGGCCAGGTGGTGCATGCACAGCCGGTACCAGCCCTCCTCCAGAGCACTGTTCACCTCTATGTTAAGGAGTGAGCAGCGTGAGCCGAGCGCGAACAGCCGGAACTCCTCGCGCTCCTTCTCGGAGGTGCTGGTCGAGCCGAACAGGCGGGTGGCGATGACTTTGAAGACGAAGATGGCGCACTGCCAGCACTTGATGCCGGCGACGACGCCGCTGCCCGGGACGTCGGTGGAGTGGTAGACGACACATAGGTTGCCGCCATCCACGTTCATCATGTTCCTGAGAGGCTGCGCGAAGGACGCGCCGCTGTTGAAGGCCTCGGCCATGTCCTGGCGAGGCGGGAGCAGTGTGACAAACTAAGCGGCTCGCCTCGGCTAAAGCGATGCTGAGGACGGAGCACGTGATCGACGTCATCAGATGCGGCCTTGGCCACTGTGGACCCCACCACTGTCGGAGGACACGGCCCCCTGTCCTGAAGGCATGGGAGACGGCCACCAGCCTCATGCTAGAAGTCACCATGCGCGGCATGGGCCACTGTGGACCCCACCACTGCCGTAAGGTACGGCTCAGTGTCCTGAAGGCAGGGGGACGGCCACCGGCTTTATGTCGGGGATATCTACCGTCTGCGCAAGGGATGGGCACCGCCCTCGTGCGTTCGGGCTGCGGGCAGCCACCGTCTGACAGCATCAACACTGGGGACCGACTCTTGTGTATGCGACTGTTGAATGCATCTGATATGCTTTGACGACACGCAAACGGCGTGAGCAGCTGTCAGATTTGCTTTTGCTTAGTTATCGGCTCACAGTTTTGATAACTTGAGCCAAACGTAGAAATCTGCATGGACAATTCTGACATTGTGTTGTAAATGGCTCATTCAGCGCGTTGTTGAACTTTCCTCAACACGTAGGGTCGACTAATCCGAGCAGCACATTTTAACGGTCCGTGTCATCGGACACGTCTTTGTTTTCCTTTTGTATATCCCCCTGAGTCATTTCTATCAAGCTATTACTCCGGGTCCCAGCACCTAACTTACCAAGTAATAGCACTTGTCCATGTTGCCCGTGGAGGACAAGGCCTTGGACTTCTCGCGCACACGCATGCACGTGCAATCTTCCTTCTGCACCGAAGAGCAGGACTCGGAACAAGTCTTCGCCGCCGAACGGCTCTGGTCGCACTTGGGGACGAAGCCCTTGCCTCGCAGCTCCTGTAAACGACGAGGGTTCAACTACGGCGACCGTGGGTGGCGTACATGGCGTTCGACCCACTGAGCAAAACTTGAACAGGCACTTCCAAGGGAAGAACGTAATCTTAACAGTCTGCAGCAGGCATATGTTGCATATACGCAGGTACGCTGCTTCGCGGACCGTGCCCAGCTCACCTTCTGCAGCAGTATTGTCGACATTGACCCGTCTTCTGGATAGACTGCTTTCTTCCCAGATTTGGCTTTCTGCGTCTTCCAGGCGCCGGTGACAGCAGCGTAATGATACTCGTTAGGGTTCAGTGGACGCCACGTGGAGCGGTTGGAGATCGCGCAGAACCACGGGTCCACCGCCATTATGTCGAACGGATCCGCCGGGCCCCCAAACAAGGTGCGGAGCACGCCGAACGACCGTGGCGCCGCGTGGTGGGGCATCATGAAGTACTCCTTTTGTCGGCCGACGGTAGATGTCGGGTGCGGCAGGCCCAGCACGTGCCCGAGCAGGTGGACTACGATGACCTCGGTGCAGCGGCCGGACACCAGCGAGAGCTTGCGGGGCTCCTTGCTGTGATAGCCGAGCGTGGCGAAGCAGCCGCCGTCCGTCACCACCTGCCCGCAAAGTCGGGTGTTGTGCAAGCGGATTCTAGTTTAAGGTTAGGTATACTTGGCTAAATTGTATGCAATGGCGTGTAAGCGGAGCTACGAAGTATTCATATGTACTGTATATACGCACTGGATGTCTCGGGATAACTGCGTGCCGGCGGCGACGATCATGTCGTCCATGATGCGAGGAAAGGAGGACTATAAAACTACCGCTGGGAGATTGTTATGCAATTTAAAATGGCAGATAAGGATTGTCATAATCGCATAATTATGGTATAACTTAACAAATTATTGTGCGATTTTAAGTTGTCCAATGTGCCTACCCAACAAAAATGTAGCGAGCACACCGTCTGCAGTGGCGCAAACGCGCAGGAATTATTAATTCTAACAAATAAAAACCTGGCAATATGGGAAGAATGCTAGCATATGATAGGTACTGGCTACAAGGGTACAGCCGGGCTTTCCTTAAGGAGGAGGAGGAGGAGGAGCTCAGTGGTATCTCATTATTTGCAAGGCGAAGACGGCCGCAATTTCGACTTGTTGAGATGCTTCCTCCTTATGGGGAATGACGTTGGATTTCAGTGTATTGTTCAATGCTAAGTTTGCGATGTAATTAAATGTTCTGGTAAGAGCCACCCACGGTACTAAGATAAACCAAACTTGCAAGAGAGCGGCTGGGTGCCTGTCCATCCCTTCGGTTTCGCCTCTGGGTAGTTCCACACTTCGCCTTAATAAAATCCATTTATCGCGCATCACACGAGTCGTTCTTTGGGCTGGCTGCAATCATATAAAATTTCGAACTGAAACATGTACACTAGGATGGATTTTCGAAATCAAAACGAATAAATTGAAACAGAGCAAGCAGGATCCCTGCCCTGCTACAGAGCTAAAGAAACTTCAGCCCAGCCAGTCCATCATTCCTCCTTGTTCCCCACCGAGATGACTACACTGGTGAAAGAAGCAGTGATAATCCCTTCAATCTAATGAGCGCCTAAATTCACATTTAAGATGCTCATTGCACCTCCCCCCGCAAAAAAACACGCACGAGGCACCACCCAATGCCGTCTCACCTGGAGTACATTGGCTGGCTTCTTGGCGGCCTTCGCCACGTCCACGAACTTGACGTTGGCCACCTCATGCCAGCGCCGGGCGGCGGCGACCAGCAGCTTCTTCAGCTCCGCGTCGAGGCCGCCGTCCAGCTTGTAGTGTACCGTCGACCGATGATCAGCCTCGTCTACCGGCCACAGCGCGCGCGCGTACCCGTCCCGCGGCAGCGACCCCAGCCGCGACTCGCGCTCGGCCGGCAGGTCGTACAGGTTGAGGAAGAGGAAGTGGTCGTCGGTCTGGCCGTCGGCCAGGATGTCGCAGTCGACGAAGTGAGGCGCGCGCTCGGGCCGGTGCCACAAGTGCTGCATGAGGCGGTCCGAGTTAGAGGCGTATTTGTCGCGCGCGCGCTGGGCGGCCGCCCAGATGGCGCCAGACCATAGGTCCTTGGCGGTGAACTTCGGCTTCGGCGCCGTCGGCGGCAGGGTCAGCAGCATGTGCAGCAGCAGCGGCAGGAGCTTCGAAGCCGGGTGGCGGTGTGGAGTGACCATCGGAGCTCGAGGTGGTGTGCAGAGGGTAAAGAGTCGCGGGCAGGTCAGACGCGTGGCAACTAGCGCAGAACGAATGTGGTGGTGAAGGGGTGCGTGGCTTCCGTTGTATCGTTGATGTGTCAAGACTTGTAAAATGGCCTAGTTAAAGGTCAGCATAAAAGAGTCAGAATCACGTGTACTGATGCACTCCGCTAACAAATCGTTTGGCGCGCATCACCAACACCAAGATGTCACCAACTCACCAGGCAACATAATATGGCCTCACTATGACATGGCAACAATGCATCTAAGCACGTACTGCACTCTGTGGGAGCAGCACACGCATACGCACGTGAATCGATATCGTGTAGACGTTTTAAGCAAATAGTTGTAAACAACCCCGATCGGGTTCTTTTCTTCTCTGTCATCTTGGCTCATCTTGATCTTGAATGGTATCACTGGCATAGGTCGGTCATTTCTTTCCTTTGCGAGGCTATGCAAAATTCATTTTCCAGTCATTTGATTTTTTTCGCCGGTCGTCTAGTAACATCGTGCACAACGATAGCTAAGCTCTGCCACTGTGAAACTATGCTAAGATTTCATCTAGGTACGCCACCATATTCAGTGATAGATCTAGGGCTCACATTTGAGGTTTCAAAATCATGACGGTCCATTTATAGATCACGTGAAGAACACATAGCAGCGGCTGCCAACTGCGTGAAAGAAGTCTCTGTGCAACTGATATTTAAGGAGAAGTGCTCCTTGTCAGGTCACCTGATCTACATGTTGATAAGCGTTATGAAAGGTCATCTGGCCCCTAAGATCCATGCAACTTTGATCATAAGCAAGGCATTTTCGGGGTTATTCCTGCAGTAACTTTTACGCCTGAAAACGCCAGCAAACTCATGAACGTTTGTCTTCTCTGAGTCCTGCAGTGTAGTATTACTCGGCACGGGAAATATATATTATCGCCCTGTTTCATGACACAGGAAGATTGTCCGCAAGGCCAGTTTTAGTTTCGGAACCAGCCTGGCAGTGTTCGTCATTCGGCAAATCATAATCTATGCGAGACGAAGTATTTCTCTTCTATGCAGGTCTGGTTTTTCACACTCGCATGACAGAGTTTTTTCTGTATAAAAGACACGGTCCTGTCATCTCAAGACGCATTTTACCCATTCATGCTTCACTTTTCGTCAATTTTTGTCGTGCTTATTGGAGCGCTCGATTTTCTGTCGCAGGCGAGGGCAGGCAGACACCAGCAAGAACTGGGCGGATCATTCGGTACTTATATATGTAATAGTCACCTTTTCATGCTGACCGAGGTCACGTTTATGAACTGATCCTTGCTAAAGCATGCGCTGCCAGCGTCTCTTCGCACCAGAAATCGACAGCTGGCTCCCACCGATCACGTGACTCGGTCCCTAGTAAAATGTCACCGCCGTCAGTAGCCGGAGCCCGTACCGCAGACGAGAGGTGAGGCAGGGTGCATTGCTCCCTTCCCTCCCAAAAAAAACAGCCGCCGCTTGCGCCCAGGCGAACCGCAAAGTGCAGTATGTCAGACTAGAGCCAGGTGCCAGCAAAACTAGAACTCCCTCATCTGTCTCTCCGTGACCCGAGTCTAGCAATGCCAGACAATCTTGGTCGACAAAATGAATGAGGTCATCATCACGCACGAATTTTGAGTGCATAATTGTTACAGCGTAGGCGTAAGCGGCGTCACGGTATCGTAGGCGTGCAGTGTGCGCTTTTCTGAGTCTTATAACCCACGCTGCGCGCTTTTCTGAGTCTCATAACCCACGCTGCGCGCTTTTCTGAGCCTCATAACCCACGCTCTCTCGCTTTCGGTGACAGCTCGCGCGCAATCGCGATCATTTCCGAAGCTAGTGGAGTCGGTTGTTTCCCAGTCTGATACTGGGCATCCAGCGAGTCAGTGTCGAGATCGCTTGATTATCAGATAGTGCGCGCACCTACGTCGTGCGGTTGCCTTCGCGTCCTACCTGCCCTACCGGAAGATGACATATTTCCTTGAAAACGTCGACAGGAGCAGATGCGAGGCTCGCGCTTCCTATCACCTAACCCGCTGCGTGCCCCGGCCAGCGTGGTAAACAACATGACCGTGAGTTCCTTCCTCGTGCGCCAGCGAGCAGGTCTCATGTCGCCGCTGAGCGGCGCTGCCGCAACCTGAGTACCATATCGGCGCCGGATGCACCAGTCTTTTTGCAATAAGCAGCCAAAGGTTTCACATGCTAGTCAGATAAGAAAGTCTAAAAATTTATCAAATTGTAAAGCTACATGAAAAACAGCTAAAAATCATCCCGTGCGCATATGCCTTAATACATTTACAGTATAAAGTTGGATTTGGCCTGCTGCTTAAAGCTGCATGAAGCCGCGTTCGGTGCTTGCAAGGATATCGACATTTATTACCAGTTTCTACAGGCGCAACTGAAACTGTGACGGTAGGGCCCCCACGGTACAAGATATTCAAATTTTCTAAGAAATCTCATTCGGCCCGAAGAATCGCTCCGAAAGAAATGCCACCGGACACATCAAACAGGTGCAAACAGGTACAAACCTCCAGCTTATCTGCGATTTATTACCGAAATCAACGCTCATGAACGTAGTTTCACAGCCGCTGCGCTGCTTGAGCGGGAAAAGCTACCAAAAACTGTCCATCTGCTGACACGAGCCGTAAGCCTCGGACGTAGAAAAAATCACCTCGCACCAGTGGCTGCGAGCATCACCCACCCCGGCCGGGACTGGAAATCGTCAGGTGACGAAAGGACGCCCCCGGGGCCTTGATGGCGTCCTCAAGCACCTTACAGCGTTCTCCAGTGCCCAAGAACGTCATGACGCACCCAAGAAAGTCACTTAACACCTAAGAAGCGTTATCAAGCATCTAGAACCCCATCAAGCACCTAAAAACGTCATCAAGCACCTAACAACGTCCTCAAGCGCGTAACGGCGTCCTCAAGAGCGCCAGAACATCCCAGGAGCACGAGCGGAAGCAGGGGGGGGGGGGGGGGCATTAGCCAGTGAACTGCTGGTACAGCTTGGGCACGTAGTCGTCGTACTGGGCCTGGTACAGGTTGCCGGCCACCGGGGCGCCCAGGCCGTGCTGCTCGGCGAACGCGTGAACACTCCACTTCTCGCGGCCCTTAGCCTGCGGAAGAAGGCGGGCGGTGATGTTACAGGGCCGACAGTGGAGGGCGGTGACGTTACAGGGCCGACAGTGGAGGGCGGTGATGTTACAGGGCCGACAGTGGAGGCCGTGACGTCACAGGATCGACAGTGAAGGGCGGTGATGTTCCGGGGCCGACAGTGGGGGGGGGGGGGGGCTCAGGCACACTGGGGCGATGCGTCATCGGTTTTTGATCGTGAGAGGGGGTAGGTGGCATATGAGGGACATCGGTGAAGGACGCCAGGGGACACATCGGTGAGCGTGCTTCTCCCGGCCCTCGGCCCGTGTCAGGCGGCCGGCTGTGACGTGACAGCCGCGTCAGTGCAGGGGGGGGGGGGGGGATAGCAAATGTAGCTTGCAATTGTAACCCGCATCAAAACGCTGCGCAAGAAGACCTGGACAAGCGCACCAATGGAAGGAAATCAAGACAAGCATACCTCGTGTTTAGTCTTCTTCAAAGCCTCGTCGACGGTGATCTTCCCCGGCTGCTTGTACACCAGGAACACGTACCTGTCAGGTCAGTGGATAGGCAATGTCAGGTCACAGACAAGTGTAGTCAAGGCAAGCGCCGTTCAGAGAGCGGGGCTCAGACTTTTTAGCCGAGGCACGCACGGCGCTGCGGTGGCGTAGGTTTTGGATATTAGCGCTATTGGTGGTGACGATGACGATTTGGGCCTTGCAGCGCGCCGAATACAACGGTCATGTGACGCCCTTAACGCTATAGTTATGTCATAGTTTGGGATTTTGCATAAGGCCATTGGAATGTGTTCACTTGTCTTGGCTTTTGTTTTCCCTTGCATAGCTCGCTTTTGGTGGCCGAATTCCGAGACAAATGCAGCGATGTATGCAAAACAGGAAATGCACCGCCCCAAAATATCCACAAACAGGACAGAGTATTCAAATGATTACCGGTCACATTTGGAGACCCCTGCATAAACACACGGAGCGGGTCGAACGGCAACTCGCAATCGAACGCCTCCAAAAACGCATACATTATTTACATTACAAACGCATCATCAGCATATCCTCTGGGTCACTCATCTCGCTTCAAACCAGACCGAAACGCTGTAAATCCAAGGCCTAGATGCCATCCATTAACAGCCTGTCGCACAGCGCGTACTGCATGCCCCCGCACAGCTGGCTTCTGCACAAGCATCGAAAAAATCACCTCTTCACAAAACCGGTTCCACCAGTGACAAACACACCAAGCAGAAGCCGCGACTCGCGGCAACGCGCGCCGCATCTGTAGACACCTAACAGCGCCGCCAGCGCGGAAAAGTTGTGGGAGGGGGGCGCGGGGGGGGGGTGAGCCTCGATAGGAGATCTGTCGAGGACGACACCGTGCAACGTTAGTCTGCGAGAAAAAAACAAGCTTTAATAGCTGAGTGTCATTCGTCTCTTTGCTGTGGCGCGACTTCTGTTTGCTCGCCCTCCTACCTTATGAATCATATTAGCTGGTCCGCTAAAATCGTGTTCTTTTTGGTCTTCGCGACCGTGTAGAATGCACAAGTTTGACTATGAAATAATTCTTCATCTCCTATTGTGGCTTCCTTCTTACTCTATTCTCCTTTGAACCTAACCCTTCCAATTTTTCACTAAATCATGTCTCCTTTTTACCCTCTCTCTCACCAAGCCGGCATCGTGCCAGGTGACCTTCCACAGCCTAAAGCGCATAGGTGCTTAGAAAGCAGCTACAACATGCCCTGTGTAGCCATGTGCCATTGAATGTGCCATTGTGCCAACATGTCATGGAAGCCATGCGGCTCCAATATGAATGAATGTCACATGACTTTTCTGTGCCGGATCCACTCTCTCAAAGAGCGGATATCCAAGTGTATATCCAAGCACCGCAACACCTACGCACAAATACCCGTGCTCATGGCGATCGGTAACAAGATCACTACACACACGCCGCACGCCGCACACCGCCCCACGCTGCAGCCCCACTCCCTGAAGGTGCGGCGTCCAACCACCGCACCGCCAGCCGCCCACCTGTGGAGGCCGGTGCCCTGAGGTGGTCCGGAGCCGACGTAGGCCGACACAGCATCGCCGCGGGCCACGTCCTGGGCGGGCACGTTCACCACCAGCCAGTGACGCCACTCGCGGAACTTGGGCTGCTGGCGAGACGGCGCGTCCGGGTCTGCCGAGGTCAGCCAAGGTCACGGCGGGTCACCACAGGTTACGCCAGGTTATCCGAGGTCATGTGGGTCATAAGAGGTCACAGTGGGTCACCAAAGGTCACAACGGGTCACCAGAGGTTACAACGAGTCACCATAGGCCACGGTGGGTCATCAAAGGTTACGACGGGTCACCAGAGGTTGTGATAGGTCATGACAGGATGGAGCAGTCGGCATAGGTGCGTTATCCTACTGTGGCCTCTGTAACCTTAGGATATAGCGGTCATCACAAGGGTGTGGTCCGCCAGGAGTCACCAAATAACCTGAGGATGCAGCGATTCAGTTAACATTAAAACTGTCATCACAAATTACGGCAGGTTGGTGAAAGGTACAGCTCGCTACAATGATAGTGATAACCACAATAATGCAGTTCGTCCAGGAAGGTTCCAATGACTCACAGAAGACTACAGCATGCCACAAAGATCCATGCGTTCACCAATAAGAACAGCACGCCGCCCGGAGCTGCAAGATTTTCTCCAGGATTGACCACGTCCACGCGCGCAACCACCGATCACGGCAAGTCAGCGGGTCCGAGAGGCTACGGCTACGTCAGCTACGGCAGACCCGCGGATTCCAATCATCACTGCGCGGTGTGATGACTTACATGACTACAGTACGGATTAATCCCATGATTCTAATATAGATGATTAGCATGACTCCGATGTGGATGATTTGCACGACTCCAGTGCAGATGACTCGCATGACCCCAGTGCAGATGACTAGAATGAATCACGTGCAGATGACTACCATGACTCAAGTGCAGATGACCCGCAGGTCACCAGTGCGGTCACCGCACGCGTGATCGCGAAGCGCGCGGTGACCCAGCCTGACCCGCGCGGTGACCCGGTCTGACCTGTCAGCACGACCGTGTAGAGAGCGTCCGGCTCGGTCTCCCAGCTGAGCTGCGGCTCGTCCTTGACCTGGGTCGGGGTCAGCTCGTTGCCGCCGTTCACGGACACGCCGCTCGGATAGCTCACCTAGGTCAAGGTCAAAGATCGCTCAAGAAAAAGTCAAAGTTAAAAGCTCCAAGGCATGGGAAGCTGAGGCGTACGAGCTGATAATGCTGCGGTTGAGCAAGAGCGCAACAAGATTTAAGGTTTAGGCGCTTCTTTGGAACAGGAGCAGCAAAGACGGCCTGCAGGTGCACAATCGGCTTACGAGGCAAGAAAAGCCCAATACGATCGTTCACCGCGACAAGGCTTCTAATGAGAGAACTTTTGAAATCACATTTTACCTTTACTTGAAAATCCGTACGCCCTCTGGTGATCGTTGTTGTCCCTTTCCCACCCGCCGCTAACTTGATACTTCAGCACGCGGACACTCTCCGGTGACATGTGCAAATAACGATTCTCACATCTATCCATACCAACCCACCCTGGTATGCGCGTTAAATGAGACGCATTCGCAGCATGGCACTGCAGCAGGCGCCGACAGCTCTCGCCATCGCCCGGCCGCCCTGACACGTCACAACTTCACCTCTCACGTCACAACTCCACCTGGCCATGGTCGGGGCGCCCTGACACGTCAAAACTTCACCTCTCACGTCACAACTCCACCGCTCTGGCCATGGTCGGGGAGCCCTGACACGGCACAACTTCACCGCTCCGACCATGGTCCGAGCGCTCTGACACGGCACAGTTCCACCCTCTAGCCATGGTCCGGGCGCCCGACACAGCACGTCACCACTCTAGCCAAGGTCCGGGCGCCCTGGCAAGGCACAGCTCCACGCCCGCGTCTCACCGAAAGCGCCCCAGCTGGGGCAACCGGAATCACGTCCGGTACCACCTGGTGCGTCTCCATGGCGTTCGGCGTTCGGGCTGTGGTGCACAGCACCAGCTGCACCAGCAGAGAAGCTGCGGACGAACGGACGGACGGTCAGGCGACCGCCGTCGGCGAGAGACGCGCGGGCGAACGGGGACGGCTGAGACCACCAGCACGACGGCAAGCCCCGATGTAGCAGAGACGGCGGTGAGGAGACGGTCATTGCCACCGGATACACGGGGACGACTACAGAGCCGGCCACAGCGAGGGTGCCACCGCTGCTGTGACCACTACTGTCATTATATAACGGGGGCGTGATGGTCGTGTGGTTAGCGCGTCGGATTCACACGTGGGGGGGGGGGGGGGGTCGCTTCGAGTCCCAGTTGCGCCGCGGCCCCAGACTGCTCAAATGACCAATGCAGTCGCTGGAGCTATTTAAAAGGGGGCGCAACAAAATGTCTTGAACCCCTTTAAAAACCATGTACAAAAATGCATTATATAACTGCTGTCATAAGGACACACGTCGTTGGTCGACACGAGATGACAAAATCCTCAGGTCAACTCCGATTACAAACAACATTTTCTGGCTGACAGTGCGGAGACGAACTCAAACCAAACGTGCAAAAGCCAAAAAAAAATAAAATAAAAGCAAAACAAACACATTAAACGACAAAGTCGCCGTCCAATGGGAGCGGACAAGGTTTGGTAACAAACGAGCCGCCCTTCTGGCACAGACACACAGGCATGGCAAACCCTGCCAGTGGTAGCCCTGCGGACGGAAACGTCTGCACTGAGTCCTTGCCATCCCTTGTCCGTGAAGCGTGGTTTCAATAAGTATCACAGCCATCAGCAGTCCATGCCACGCCGCCGTCCCCTGCGTCACGAAGTCGTCCCCGCCCAAGATGTCGTTCCCTGTCCGAGACATCATGCCCCGACCAACATTTCGTCCTCTTTTCAAGGTATCGTACTCTGGCCTGGATGTCGTCACCCAAGATGTCACCTGACCAGGATGTCGTCACGTGCCCAAGATTTCGTCCTTCGCGCAGGATGCTACCCCCCAAGATGTAGCCAGCGTCATCACTGCGGCGCGCACGCCAATCGTGCCCGCTACAAGCGATGTGGTCATTACTGTGAGAACATACCCGGCCCAAGGTTACAGTTTCTCGCACCTAATTACAATTAGAGCGACTAGCGCTTTGCAATTGACGACACATAGCTTCCCTACGGCCTGCTGACAACCGTTTTTCTCACAAGTCCACGCTTCGAATGCGAATACAAAAAATGGCTTTCATCGTAACTGGTGACAAGCAACTTGGAGAAGATTATGCCGGGCGCAGTTTCCTCCTCATAGATCTATAGAAAGCCCAAAACATGGAGAAGCCGGCGCGTGATTTCCGTATGCTGAGGCGGAGATGCAACAGCAGATGAGGACAGGAAAATAATACCCTACTGCTCTCATTTAGACACACGCCTGCAACGGCGTTGAAGTCCTTGAGAACGGGTTTCCATGTTTGCTACATCAATCTGATACACATTGGATTGCCTGGCCACCCGGCGGTATTCTGCACTTCTAAAACAGACAGCACGCCTACAGCAGCCCCGGCATAACGACACCAATAGTCTTAACGCTCTTGCGGTCCCGGGATTCGAACGCGCGCCCCACCATCCGTCCAACTTTGCAGACGAGGCCGTGACACGGCGTAACCAGGCGCGACCTCGTGACGCAA